GGAAGGGATGAGTGTTTGAGGTGAGATTCTTATAGGACATGCAGGTAGACGTGCAGATCTTGGGGTCTAGGAGGAGAACCTGGACATAGGACATGTATTTGGGAGTCACATCAACAAAACTAGGCAGGGAGGGAGTCCTCCGTCATCCCGGTGCCCAGGGTTGGAAAATATGCTGTGCTGGTGTAAAGGAATTTTGAGTGGTACACAGTAATATGTGGCCGATATCGCTAGTTCCTTTCAGCTCCTTATACCACATTCTTCTTTCAAACTGAACCCTGACATTATTTGGGGGTAGCAATGCTCAGATGAAACACTCCAGTCCCCAGCCAGGCCCCTTCTCTAGCCAATGAGTTGTAAGTAGAAAGAAGGATTCTGAATTCTGGGAAAGTCCCTCAGAGCATAGGGCCAAGCCTTTCTCTATCCTACAGGCTGGCAGTCAGATGCGATGGCAGGAGCTCTAGCCGCCACTTTGGACCAGGAAGCCGAGAGCCATAGGTTAGGTGAGTGCAGTGGAGAGAAAGGAGGCTACATCTTGAGACACCTTCATGGAGCTTCTATCCCAGCCCTGGGTTGCTTTTTCCCTAGAAACAAAACCTCTCTTGTCAAGCTGCTGGTTTATTATTTTTTTTCTGTTAAATTCAGCTGAAGTTAGTCCTAATGAAAACATTATGACTCTGCGGTACTTGGTTAAGCCTGCACCTGGGGCCTGCACCTGGGGCCATTTCCAGTTTGCTTAGTTGAGTTCATGGTTCTTCTCTGTGGGATTGATTGGGGAAGGCTGGCCGCTGATGGAGCTGGCGGTGCAGGTGTGCTGTGCCACCTGGTGGACACATGGCACACAGCACCCCTTTCACCTAGGGCACAAGGCACAAAGAGCTGGGATGCTTTACAGGCTGTCTGCTTTTACCAGCAGCGCTCTGCACCCCAGCTTGTTAACTTGATCTCAGCCCCATGGCATCTCTTGACCGACCATAAAGTGCTCCAGAGTCCTGAATGTCAGTGGACAGACCTCTGAGAAGCCCAGGAATTCCTGACTGTCCCCGAGAGCTCAGGTGCACTCTCAGAAGCATGGGCGGGGGAGGGGGGGGGCTGTTTCTAGCTACCCCTACCCCTGCTGGCCGTGCTTCCCCTCCCCCAGGTTGAGGACTTCTGTACTAAATAAAGGGTTCCATGTGACCTCTCATTCTGCAGACTCTGTCTCAGAGCAATAGTTAAAACAAGAGAGGAGGGAGGGTGATGACTCACTGCCTCGCTGAGCAGGAAATGAACACCAAGGGAGCCTAACCTGGCAGCAGGCTGGAACAAATGGATTTGCGGTCGTTTGCGCTGTTGGCAAAGCGGGCTCCTGTGGGCGAGCTTATTAATGCTTCCTCCTGCTGACCACTGGTGCAAACCCGAGGTGGCTGATTCTGTCAAAAGCCGAGTTCAAAGTGCAAAAACGAGTGTCGGAGTTTCAGAAATTCCAGAGATGTGGTGGCAAGACCCCTGGCACCCGGACACCTGGGCACCCAGGTTTACTCCCAGTTGGTCACTGACAGTGTACGGCCCGCTGCCCACCTTCTTTTTCTGGGCTCTGCTTGGTACACGGGGTCGCTGGGACACCTTCCAGCACAGGCCCTGGCAATAAGCACGCCCTAAGTCAATAACGGGAGTGGGGGTGGAGGTGGGGGTGAGGGAGGGAGGGGCCTGGGGGGGGGCCGGGTGTAGGAAGTAGAGGCTTTGGGGAGGAGCGTCAAGAGGAGAAGGAAGATGACTTCTCCAGCTTCTCCAGCATTTAGCCCAGAGCACAAGCGGATTGCCTTTGCTTCTGGGGGCGTGTGTGGGGAGGTGGGAGCTGCATGGGCAGGGGTGGAATCCAGCAGATTGATGCACGTCCTTGTTTTTCCCAGGTGGGGCCTGTTAGGCCGGGGTGGGGTTGGGAGGAGATGAGCAGGGAGACAGAGAGCGGCCCAGGGTCAAGCGCGGTGGGGACAGTGGGTGTTGGGGAGATTGAGCTGAAAGAAGAGATGAGATTTGGTGGGAGGGGGCCTGAGAAGCACCCCCAGTCCAGAAGCTGTGCACCTCAGGACTGGAAGGAAGGAGCTTAGAGTCTGCCTGGCACCTGGTGGCTGCAGAACTGGTCTCCCAGGTTGTGGGACTCGCACAGATTCACAGGTGGGCATGTATTGGCGGAGCCAGGCCCAGGCCCTGCACCTGCCCCTGGGCCACTGGGGTCAGAGTCCTGCTTCCTGGGATCAGGACCCAGACAACCAGAAAGCCCCTGCTGCCTGACTCTTGGTCCTTTTTATTCTTAAAATGACAACAGTGAGAAAATTCCCAAAGGAACCCTAGTACCTGTTCCTATGAGAACGAGACAGGGGTTCCTATGTCCCCCTCTCCATCTCCCCACATATCTCCTTGTATGGCTGGGGCTGCCTTCCCTGAAAAGCCTCTAAAAGCAACAGGTTCTCCTTTCCCTAAATTTTCTAGCTTCCTCTGCGTTATGTAAAGCAACCTAGTTCACTCAAGGCTTTCTCAATTTGCATCTCCACCTGGGAGCGGAGCAGCCACAAACAAAACCACATTCTGTTTTATTTGGGGAGCAAATGTGCTTGGGCTGGAGTGGGGGCAGGGTTGGGGGTGTAAATCATGGTTTTCTCTCTTCTTTTCTCTTGGTGGGATCTTCATAGTCTCTTGCAAAGAAGGTTGGGGGTGGGGTGGGGGTGTCTCTTCCCACTCAGAACCCAGCCCTGTGCTTCTCCTTCTGTCATGGCTCTCCTGCTTTGACAGCTTTGCCAAGCCTGGCATGGGGGCGCCCGCCAGAATTTCTTCCCAGGAAGAGCTGGGACTTGGGCTCTGTCTTGGGGGAAAACTACATAGGACCAACCTTTTTCCAGGGTCTGAGCCTCCTGCAAGTATGGGTGGACGGATGGATGGACGTGTGTACAACAAGGGTCTGCCTTCCGGGCATGGCTGCCACCCTCCTACCCCCAGCCAAACACACATAGAGATGTCTGGGTAGCTTTGAGGGTTTCCCTGTCGCTGACCCTATAGGCTGGGGTCTGTGAGCTGCCAGAGGATGTTGGGCCAGTCTGACCACATGAGGTGAATTACAGGATTGTGAGCATGATCTGAGGGAGTAGGACAATCGGCTGAGCCCAAAGGGTGTGGTAAGGGCTCCTCCTACAGGAGACGGAGCACAAGGACCACTGACTGGATGTGGCTTTGGGTCCAGATGACCCTGGCATTATTTGAATACCACCTGTCCCATTTCCTGGGGGCCAACAAGGCTATGAGCCAATTTACTGAACAATCAGAGCTGGATGGGTTGCAGAGTGGAGATGGAGGGTCCCCCTCTTCATTGTTGTCTTCCATTTGTTGCCCTGTTCCTAAGACCCTTCCTTGGCCCCTCTCCTCTGTCCCATCACTCTGGGGACAGGCCCTGAGGCTGTGGATCCTATGCTACTCCCACCCAGTGGTAGGAGACTGGGTGGGGAGGGAGAAGGGAGAAGGTAAGGAAGGTAAGTCTGTGTTGTCCTCTCTCTCCACCTGGGACACACAGGCCTGCAGGGCATCCAGCTTCCACCGCTGAGCCTGGTCACTGGGTCTAGGAGCACCTGCTCTTCTCACTGTCCCCAGCTCCTGGGCTGGAATATTTTCCCTGCTCTTGCCTTCCCTGGAATGCCTGGCTCCTGCCTTCTTATCTCCTCCATCCCTAGAACCATTAGTTCCCTGAATTAGTGAATCTTTATATGTGTACCACAGGGTTTCTGCTTCCTATGTCAGGCTGGTTCTTCTATCCCGGCCTTAAGAACACTGGGACCACATTCCACCATCACTTTTTGATTATGTTTGGGTATTAAACAGCCCCTTGAAGTTAATTTAAAATTCCCATTCGACATCCAACTCAAAGTTTTTCTCTCCTTCTAGTTTAGCCTGACCCTAGGCCCAAGGGTCCTGGCCCTGGGGTCAGGGGTGAGTCGTGTCAGCTTCCCCTTCCCACCTGCTCTTCTGCTCAGGCTCCTGGGGGGCCAGGCTAGGGTGGGAGCAGGAGGGAGGAAAACTCACCCCACTGATGTGGCCTGTTCTTGCTGTCCTTGGGCTCTGGATGGCAGGTGGCAGATAAGTGAAACCCATTAGGTTGAGAACCAGCAGCGAGCTGTATGGGGACCTTCTCCTGCTGGGTCAGGGCCACATCTTCAGAGAGCAGGGAACACATGCTTGGACCTTTGGGATTGTGTGATGCTCAGAGATGTCGAGGCAGTACGTGAAATTTTAGGTCATACGACACATGGGATATCCATGGGGTATCCTCTGTGCCTCATGTTATCAGCTGTGGGCTTATAAAAGATCCATACACACTGAAAAAGGCCCATTCCCTTGGGACTTTTCCAGTCCTTATTCTTATCCTTCTTTTTAATTAATTAGCTACTCTAGCGATGAGAGCCCAGGCATCAGCTCAGGCCCATGGTCAAGTTTACATCTGCTCAGTTACTTCTTGGCCACACACGCTTTGGGCAATGATCTGCCTTGCCAGCCCAGAACCTCCTGCCAGGTCACTGGCACGGCTATGTCACTCTCCTGCTGACACTCCTTCCCTCTTTGATGTAGAATGCCTCCGGACCATGGCTGGGAATTCCAGTGTAGAAGTGAGAGCAAATCTACTGTCCAGCTTCTCCAGGCAGTTTTCCATGTCAGTGATGCACTTTTTGACTCTAGATTTTCTTTCTTTTTTTTTTTTTTTTAAATATTTTATTTATTTATTCATAAGAGACAGAGAGGCAGAGATATAGGCAAAGGGAGAAGCAGACTCCCTGCGAGGAGCCCGATGCAGGACTCGATACCAGGACCTCGGGATCATGACCGAATCCCGAGCAGAGCCGAAGGCAGCTGCTCAAGTGATGAGCCACCCAGGTTCCCCACAACTCCAAATTTTCCATGTGGTTCTTTTATTATGTTTAAAGATTTATATTTATTTATTTATTTATTTATTTATTTATTTATTTATTTATTTATTTATATTTATGATAGTCACACACACACAGAGAGAGAGAGAGAGAGAGAGAGAGGCAGAGACATAGGCAGAGGGAGAAGCAGGCTCCATGCACCAGGAACCTGACATGGGATTTGATCCCGGGTCTCCAGGATCATGCCCTGGGCCAAAGGCAGGCGCCAAACCGCTGTGCCACCCAGGGATCCCTATCTATCTATCTATCTATCTATCTATCTATCTATCTATCTATCTATCATCTATCTATCTATCTATCTATCTATTTATTTATTTATTTTAGAAGAGGGGGAGAGGCAGACGGAGAGGGGGAGTGAATCCCAAGCAGACTCACCACTGAGCTCAGAACCCAACTCGGGGCTCGATCCCACAACCCTGAGATCACGACCTGAACCAGAACAGAGTCGGATGCCCAACTGACTGTGCCACCCAGGTGCCCCTCCACTTGGTTCTTTTAAAAAATAATTTTGGGATGCTGGGTGGCTCAGTGGTTGAACATCTACCTTCGGTTCAGGGCGTGATCCTGGAGAACCGGGAATGAGTCCTGCATCGGGGTCCTTGCATGGAGCTTGCTTCTCCCTCTGCCTGTGTCTCTGCCTCTCTCTCTCTCTTTCTCTCTCTCTCTCTGTCTCTGTCTCTCATGAATAAATAAATACAATCTTTAAAAAAATAATTTCTGTCTCTATAGTGATATTCTCTGTTTGCTGAGACCTTGTCCCAGCTTCTTTTACTTCTTCAAGCGTGGTTTCCCTCTGCTCTTTATACGTACTTATGATGGCTGCTTTCCTTTTGTTGCTAAGTTCTACATCTGGGTCCCCTCACGGATAGTTTCTTTTTTCTGCTCCCCCCCTCCGCTGTGTATAGGGGCATCCTGTTCCTTTGCATGTCTTAGAATTTTTTGTTGTTGAAAACCGATCATTTTAGGTACTATTCCTTTTGTTGTTGTTGCTAAGCTCTGGGTTAGTAATGGAATTTGGCAGATGTTAGAATGATGTTAGGATGTAGCATACTCACGATAAGCATACTGGCTGGTGTTGAAGACACTCCTCTTAACTCAAGGAAAATAAGATGAGGGGGGATAAAAGAATTTTTTCAAGCACAGCCAACAGCTTCTCCAGTAAAGCTGAAGGTTAATTGAAAGTAAATATTTTCAAAGCAAGTGCATTTCCTGGCTCCTCTTTAGAAAAAGTTATTGTCTGCTGAACTACTAACCCTTTTTATGAAGATTAGATTTTCTCCCCTAATGCTTAAAAATGTGCTCTTTCCCTTTTTCTGTTGTGGATATTCATAATCTTTTATGTTTTAGTAGTTCCAAAGCTTTTAAACAATTCAGATAATTTCAAAAATTCAAAAAATGACTGAGATAAAAAAGGTTGATATTTTAAATATTGTATCTGTTGTTACAAAAGTGCTTTGTCCAAATCCTGTAATGTTTGTCTGAACGGTGTTAAGATGGAAAGCTTAGGGTTTGCCTTCTCACTGCTATACAAATAAGAGCTACTCCAGTGGGTTCCTGGAATATTAAGCACAATGCAAGTTTGTTTGCTTGATTAGCATCCCTTGGGCACCAGGGAGCCCAGGGTCATGTTGCCTGGACCACAGCCACACCTTTCCACCAGATTCCTGGTAGGAACAGGCAACCAGAACAATGGCAGAGGAAAACAAGTTCAACTGATAGTTAGCTAGGGGTGGGCCCCCAGCCTGGTGGGTGAGCCCATGCAGCTTCCCTTTAGGGGGTACTACAGCAGATAAGGGAGTTGGAGACTGTTCTGTGAGCCCCTCCAAAGCCCAAACTCAAGTCTCAGATCTTCCCACCAGCGGGGTGCATGGCACGTAGAGGAGGGAATGATGGCTCCCCCTTCCCCCCTTTGGATGGATGATAAAGAACAGGAATGGGAGGGATAGGCCAACCCCTAGGTGGGAATGGCACCAAGTCTTCATTCAGAGATGTGATGGAGAGAAAAGAGAGAACCACATCTGTGGGCTGATTATTTTCCCCATGTATTCTTCTCTTTGGGATTGGAGGAGAAAGCCTGGGGACGGGTAGGGACCCAGGAGGAAGCAGGCTGCTTTATCAATCCCTGGAGCTTGCAGGTCCAGACAAACCCAGACACTGGCCCTCCCGTCAACATTGCCCCACTGTCCCCATTCTGCCCTCTGGATCCTGCAGACTCTGCTCTCAAGGGCAACAACAGAACCCCACAAAACCCCCAACAGAAATGCAGAAAGATTTACATTGAGGACTCCTGTTTCATCCCCTGTGTCATTCACTTCTCCCCATCACCTTCAGGTGCTACTGCTTGAGTGTGTAGGGCCCCCCCTTCCTACAGCTCACATATTGCAATTCTAACACTCAGTGTGATTCTGTTAGGACTTGGGGACCTTTGGCAGGTTCTTAGGCCAGGAGGATGGAGCCCTCATGAGTGGGATCAATGTTGTTATAAACTCCAGAGGGCTCCCCACCTTCCACCATGTGAGTACTGAAGTCAGAAGTCTGCAGCCCAGAAGAGGGCCCTCTCCCAACCTTGCTGGGACCCTGATCTTGGACTTTCAGCCTCTACAACCATGAGCTGTAGACTTCTACTGTTCGTAAGGCACTCAGTGGGATTTTGTTACAGCACTCGGTGGGATTTTGACCAGACTAAGCCAACAGGCGTTACTCATCCCCTTGCCTGTCTTTCTATCCTGCAGCTCTTTCCCCACCAGTACAGAGATTTCTTTTACAATCGCCTAGAATTGCATTGTGTGGCTGTATGTTGTGTTTTTTTCAGACCTGCAGGATCTCTCTTGTAGTTGGACTTTTGGGTTGCTTCCAGACTTTGCTATTACAAATGGTACTGCAGTGAATCAGTGCGTGCATATGCTTTTCCTGTGTTTGTAGGGAGATCTCTGGGATAAAACCCTAGGAGTTGGACCAGTGTATCGCAGGGTAGAGTTGTTGGCCATTTGGTCCATTTTCTGTAGCATCCTCCTACCACCGCACTAGTTTGCAGGCCCATCCCAGTGACATCCCAGAGTCCCCTGCAGACTCCTGAGGGGGAGCTGCCAATCTGTTTTTTAAAACCAATCTGGTAGGTAACTCTAGTATTTCAGTGAGCGTCACTCAGTGATGGAGGTCTTTTCCAGGATTGAGCAGAGCAAAGGGAAGGGTGGTGAAGGCTCTCTCATCTGAGGGTGTCCTACACTCAGGGCCTGGTGTGTGGCCCAGCCTCCCATGCCTCCCCCCAAGAAGCAGCACATGGCGCTGAGCCCTGAAGGGCTTTATTGTCTGTCGCTGAGGGGCAGTTGGGCTTCTAGGTGGGGTTATTTGGGGGCAGAGGGTCCTTCACACAGGCCTGTAGGTTCCATTGTAGCTAAAAGGGTCAGGCATTAAGCAGTCCCCATCCTCCTCAGGGATCCAGCGCTGGACGTAGTTGGGGCCACTGTCCCGAGGCCACACAATTACGGTGTCTTTGGACGCCAGGGATGGGTCCTCAGGGAAGAAGTTGAAAGGCCGGAGCAGGAAGCCCACAGAGTTTCCCGGTGTGGAAGTGTTAGGGATGTCCTCTGAGTGGGGAATGTGCAGAAAACCCACGGTGACCCAGGCCACCAAGTCCTGTGGGAGACAGGGGTGGGCAAGTGCTAAGGGGGCTCAGAGGGGACAGGGGATGGCAGCCCTCTCAAGCCCCACTCTACGGAATTGGCAGACCCCTGAGCTTGCCCTCCACATAGTGAGCTGCTGGTTTCCAAGCTGGAATCAGGCACAGATCTGGTCTTGGGCTAGGGCTGGAGGAAGGGCCAGTTTCTTTCTTTCTTTCTTTCTTTCTTTCTTTCTTTCTTTCTTTCTTTCTTTCTTTCTTTCTTTCTTTCTTTCTTTCTTTCTTTCTTTCTTCCTTCCTTCCTTCCTTCCTTCCTTCCTTCCTTCCTTTTCTTTCTTTCTTTCTTTCTTTCTTTCTTTCTTTCTTTCTTTCTTTCTTTCTTTCTTTCTTTCTTTCTTCTTTCTTTCAGATTTATTTATTTGAGGGGGGAGAGAGAGAGCGAGAGCGAGAGCAAGCTGGGGGAGGGGCAGAGGAAGAGGGAGAGAGACTCAAGCAGACTCTGTGCTGAGCATAGAGCCTGATGCAGGGCTTGATCCCACTACCCTGAGATCATGAACTGAACCAAAAATCAAGAGCTGGTCATTAAACCAAACGAGGCACCCAGGTGACCCCCAGTACCTCGTTTTCAATGTTCTCATTGTTGTGGAGAAACTCCTCAAAGACCACAGGTGGGTCCCAGGGGTCGTTCTGGTTATAGATGCTGCTGCTGCACACCTCTGATTCCCGGTACTTGGTCACTGCCAGGGGGTACCTGCCCGGAGGAGAAGCCAGGTGGCTCCAGGTGCCAGGGGGCCTCCCAGCCCTTCTGGAGACATCTTCAGAGTCAAGGATGAGGGAAAGTTACTGTCTTCCCCCAAACGTGCAATCATCTCCTGGTGTCAGCCAGACCGACCAACTGTCAGCTGAGGCTCAGGTGCTCAGCATGGCTCTCTACCTGCCCCCCCACCTCCCAAACACAGAGCCCCAGGTCCAGGAAACACAAATCCACACACGTTCATGTGCCCAGATACACCACCACATAGACTCAGAATCTCATAGAAACACGGACACGCACAGACATGTGAATCCTAGCCCTCCCCTGCCTCCCAGGCTCCCTTACCTGGCCCAGGTGACAGCCCGCTCCTGCTGCCAGCCCAGGGGCAGCACCTGGTCGGCCATGGAGTGGATCTGTAGCCGGTAGCTGCGCTTATGATGCCAGCGGTTCTCCTTGGGACTAGTAAAGAGCAGGTACTTGGGCAGAGTCTGTCCGAAGCGGAAGGCTGCCTGGCGCTCCCGGTGGTAACTCATCTGCTTCAGGGTTGATTGGACCAGGTGGTGTCTTGGGCTCCAGGGGTTGGTGATGTTCTCTAGCTTCATCTGCAGGGTCTGGAAACTATTCTTGGTGCCTGCGGGTGTGCAGGAAGATGGACAATGAGAATCAAATCCCCTGACCTGAAATATCCTCATTCTGTGCTGGGATCTCTCTCCATCCCAAAGCACAGCCAAGAGCAAACCATGAGGGGTGGAGCGAAGAGGATATTGTGGGTATGCACTGAGGTAGCTGTAGGGTAGAAGTAAGGGATTAAAACCAAAAAACCCAGTAGAGGAGCCAGAAGACAACTGAGTCAGGCCTGATCTGACAGTGATGTGATGTCAGGCCAAAGCCTGTCATGATGCCCCTGCCATATTTTATGGTGACCTTGTTAATCCAGGAGACAGTGAGTATTGTGGACAGCATAGCACTAGGCAGCGACATTTCTTTTTCTTTCTTTCTTTCTTTCTTTCTTTCTTTTTTTTTTGGCAGCAACATTTCTTAGGCCCCTGGTGTTGTCCTCACTCTCCAGCCCTACGTGCACAGCCTTCTTCCCAATCCAGCCCTCTAGGGGTCAACAAGCCCCCCAGGGCCAGGGCAGGACCCACTTTCCCACCCAGGGCCACATATATGCTAGTCACTTCCACTGCTTTTCGGGGGCACACAGATTTCTAGCACTGCACTTTGCAGAGAAGTGGGTTAGGCTCCTGATTTTATGCCTCAAGGGATGTTTCAGCACCATCTCCTGCTGCAGTGCAAAGGTTGTTGCAAGCCCGCATCCTACCTGCCACGTCCAGGTCAATGCGGTAATGCACTAAGTGAGTGTGCATGTTGCCAAGCAGGTGTGTGTGCAGGCGGGTCCCATAGTGCAGCCCCTCGGGGGTGTAGAAGGTGGCATGGATGTAGCCAGTGGCGTGCATCTTGGCTTCCAGCACCCCGTTGGGGTAGAAGATGAAGTCCCAGATGTAGTCATAGTTGTAGACGGTTGACGTCGTCCGTAGCACCAGCACCTGGCCCGGCAGCCCGGCATAGAAGTTGAAGCCCCCACTGAAGTTGGAATTGAAGTGTCGGCGAAGGGGCACGCCTGTGGGCATCTCAAACACGCAGAGGGCTCGCGGGTAGCGCACGGGGTCATCGGCGTCGTAGTAGTGGAGGGCATCCAGGAAGGTGGCCGTGTCCGGGCAGTCGATGCCGGGGGCCAACTCGTGAGTGACGCTGCCCAAGCCCCAGCCCACGTCGATGTAGTTGGTCTGCATGCCTGCAGGCGTGTGCCCTCCGTACAGTGCCACGGCCTCCTGCACGCTCACCTCATAGGCGATGTGCTCACAGCCGAAGTGCACGTTCAGGATCTGTAGCCCCGAGGAGGAACGCAGCCTGAAAGAGAAGCTCCAGCCGCCGTAGTGCACTGTGTTGCCCTCCAGCTTGTAGCGGGGGCCTTGGGGATGCACCTGCCGGGGGCCGTTCACGGTGATGGGGGTGGGGAAGTCCCCACGTGGCTTGTAGGAGGAGAAGAGGGGTGGTTCCTGGGTGCTCTCCCTGCCCTGGCCCTTGGGGGGAAGGTCCTCCAGAACCACCACATCCACCTGTCCCTCTTCATACTTCCGTGCCAGCTCTTCCGGGCTCCGGTAGAACTTTCCATTGTACCAGACCTGCTCCACTTTCCAGTCTTGGGGGTCTGTGCTCCTGTGATCTATGAGGAGCTCCAGGCCAGTGGGGTGCAAAAAGTAGCCTTCTACAGAGCGCTGTAGGATGAACCAGGAGCGGCGCTCACCGGAGGCCAAGCCCCGAGGTGCCACGTCTGTGAAAGTTAGGCATCGAGAGTCACAGTCTTGGAAGGAAAAGCCTGTGGTATTAAGAAAAAATTGGTGCAGGGGTTTGGTGGTCTTCTGCAGGGTCTGGCCCAGGAGGACAGACTCTGCCCAGGTGATGGGTCGGGAGGTCCACGTGGTGCGGTGCCCAGGCCTGGGGGGCAGCTCTCGCATGTAGTAGGGCCATGGCAGGGGCCCCACCGCAAACTCGGTGACATTGGGATGCTCCTGGGCTCCGAAGAAGATGACAGCACGCGCCTCCCGAACAGGAGGCCTTCCACCTTTATTCAGAAATCTCAGTATGTGTTGCTTCTTGGGTAGCAGCATCTCAATGAGGAACACGGAGTTCTTGGCCACCGTTGGTGTTCTAGAGGGCTCCAGCCTCAGCTCCTCCTGGGACCAGAGGAAGCGGCGCACGGCCTTCAGCTCTTGGGCGCTCAGGTCTTTGAACACCCTGGCCTTGCCATGCAGGGTCTGTGAGGTGCACTTGGCCGTGGTCAGTGCCTGTAGCACCAGGGTGGCGGCGACGGCCCAGCTGAGGGCCAGCGTCTCTGGCCGCATGGCTCTGGAATGCAGTAGCAGAGATGAATTTAGGAAGTGGGTTTCCATTAGGCGGGAGTCTTGAATGGCGTTGTCGCCCAGCCCGATGGTTTTCCTACAGCCTCAGCCCCCCTCCTGTGGCTGCCCCACCTGCAGGCAGGCCTCCACAGCACCTGGGGCCCTAACTTAGCTGGTCAGGTCTGTGCTTCCTGTCAACTTTAAATTCTGCCCTATCCTTGCTCGTCTGCAGATCTCCAATTGTCCCGTGGACTTTCTTACCTGTATAACTAATTTTTCCCTTTCTATGTAGTTTCTGAGCATGGCAGAACCTTGGGCTCTTACTTCTCCACCTTTAGATTACTCAGCCAAATGCCTCAGAGTGCTTATGCATCATTGGGTATTGACAGCAAAGCTACACTTTTGATGCAATACAATACTTTTTACATAGATACATTTTGAAATTTAGCAAAGAAGTTCAAAGAGTTGGCTCCAGAGTCAGGCTGCTTGGGCTTGGGTCCTAGGACAGACATCATCCTACCACTAGGATAAGCTGTGTGACCTTGGCAAGTTGCTCAGGCTCTCTGGGCCTCCACTTTCTCAACTGCACTGGAAATAACAATTACACTGCCTCCTAGAACTGTGCAAGAAATTAATTGGACAATAAGGATAGCATTTTTAGAACAATGCCCACCTTTTAGGAAGCATTCAGGAAATGCTAGTTACTCTTCTTTTTAAAGTCAACTATGAAGATACAGTCTGAGTCTCTTCAACAAATGATCTTGGGAAGTTGGACAGCCACATGCAGAAGAATGAAACTGGACCATTTCCTCACACCATACACAAAAAAAGACTGAAAATGGATGAAAGACCTAAATGTGAGACAGAAATCCATCATAATCCTAGAGGAGAACACAGGCAGCAATCTTTGTGACCTTGGCTGCAGCAACTTCTTACTAGACATGTCTCCAAAGGCAAGGGAAACAAAGGCAATAATGAACTATTGGGACTTCACCAAGATAAAAAGCTTTTGCAAAGGAAATAGTCGACAAAGCCAAAGACAACTGACAGAATGGGGGAAGATATTTGTAAATGACAGATCAGATAATGGGCTAGCATCCAGAATCTATAAAGAATTTATCAAACTCAACACCCAAAGAACAAAGAATCCAATCAAGAAATGGGCAGAAGACATGAACAGACATTTCTCCAAAGAAGACATACCAATGGCCAATAGAGCATGACAAAATACTCCACATTACTTGGCATCGGGGAAACACAAATCAACACCACAATGAGATACAATCTCACACCTTCAGAATAGCTAAAATTAACAAATCAGGGAATGACAGATGTTGGGGAGGATGCAGAGAAAGGGGTACACTGTTGGTGGGAATGCAAGCTGGTGCAGCCACTCTGGAAAACAGTATGGAGGGTCCTCAAAAAGTTGAAAATAGATCTACCCTATGACTCAGCAGTTGCACTACTAGGAATTTACTCCAAAGATACATATGTAGTGATCTAAAGGGGCACCTGCACCCCAATGTTTAGAGCAGCAATGTCCACAATAGCCAAACTATGGAAAGAGCCCGGATGTCCATGGACAGATGAATGGAGAAAGGAGATGTGGTGTATATATGTATGTATATACATATATATAACTACTACTCAGCCATCAAAAAAATGAAATCTTGCCATTTGTAATGACGTGGATGGAACTAGAGGATATTACACCAAGTGAAATAAGTCAATCAGAGAAAGACAAGAAATACAATTTCAAGAAAGAAATTTCAAGAATTTCAATACAAGAAAGACAATTATATGATCTCACTCCTATGTGGAATTTAAGAAACAAAATAGGATCATAGGGAAAGAAAGGGAAAAATAAAACAAGACAAAATCAGGGATCCCTGGGTGGCGCAGCGGTTTGGCGCCTGCCTTTGGCCCAGGGCGCGATCCTGGAGACCCGGGATCGAATCCCACGTCGGGCTCCCGGTGCATGGAGCCTGCTTCTCCCTCTGCCTGTGTCTCTGCCTCTCTCTCTCTCATTCTATGTGACTATCATAAATAAAAAAATAAAAAAAAAAACAAGACAAAATCAGAGAGGGAGACAAACTGTAAGAGACTCTTAATCATAGGAAACAAACTGAGAGGGCAGCCCAGGTGGCTCAGCGGTTTAGCGCCGTCTTCAGCCCAGGGCTTGATCCTGGAGATCCGGGATGGAGTCCCACATTGGGCTCCCTGCATGGAGCCTGCTTCTCCCTCTGCCTGTGTCTTTGCCTCTTTCTCTCTCTGTGTGTCTCTTGTGAATAAACAAATAAAATCTTAAAAAAAATCTTTTTAAAAAAAGGAAACAAAGTGAGGGTCGCTGGAGGGGCAGGGGGTGAGGTGAAGGGGTAACCGGGTGATGGACATTTAGGAGGGCACGTGACGGGATGAGCACTGGGTGTTATATAAGGCTGATGAATCACTAACATCTACCTCTGGACCCAATAATACATTATATGTTAATTAATTGAATTTAAACAAAATAAAAATAAATTAAACACGCTCCAAAAAGAAGATACAGTCTGTGATACCAACACATTTAAAAATGTAAGCAATGTGAAGTAATTTGTGATTAAGCTGTAGACCTGTGGCTTTCAAGGTAAGGTTGAGGGAGCCAGTCCTGCCCCAGGCTTTTTTGGCGCCTCTGGTGGTGTCTTCACGTTGTGGCTGCTTGACCGTTCAAAAAGGGAGGAGCCATCCCACGTTATCATTTGGGGAGACACCCTCTCCCGTCCATTTTAGGGGGCTGTGGTCAGGGTCTTCACCTCATTTTCCCACCCCCAGTGCTGCCAGTACAGTTCCCTCTGGTTGTCTCATCTCCTCCCCCCGTCCTGGTGTGAAGGCCCGGGGATTCACATGACCTTGTGAATGTCCCCCACTCCAGCCTGCAGGAAGTGACTTCTGGGATGAATCCCAGAGGTATGGGGTTGATATGAGCTTGTACTGGCTATTAAATTTTATCAAGGCTCCTTTTTGGAGAAACAAAACAAAACACCCCAAGATTTTACTTTTTAGAGCAGTTCTAGGATCAAAAGAAAATTGTGAAGATGCAGAGACTTCCTAAGTACCTCCCACCCCCACTCACACACCGCTCCTCAGGGAACAAATCCTTCTCCCAAGTGGGACATTTGTTACCACCTATGAACCCATGCTGACACATCGTTGTCATCCAAAGTCCATAGTCTCCACTAGGGTTCACTCTTAGTGGTGTACATTCTATGGGGTTTGAGAAATGGGCAATGACACCCATCCATCATTGTAGGATCATACAGAGCAGTTTTTCTTTCTTAAATATCCTGTGTTCTCTACCTGTCCACCTGTTCATCCCTCGCATCCCTCTAACTCCGGGCAATGACTGCTCTTCTTGCTGTCTCTACAGTCTTGCCTTTTCCAGAACTCATACAGTTGGAGTCATACAGTATGCAGCTTTTCCAGATCGGGCTTCTCTCCCTTAATAATGCACTTAAGTTCCTCCAGGTCTTTTCATGGCCAAGGATGCCTATTTTATAATCTCCTAATTCCACATTTCTTTTTTCTTTGCTAAGGCGGGAGAAGTGCAGGAGATCTGTGGTCCTTTTAACCTGAACTTGGTTATTCTTTAACTTTTACCTTTCCTAGTATAATCTTCTATTCCGAAGTCCAAGTGGGCAGTGGGTGAGGTAGACGATGATGGTAATAAAGCCACACGAGGAGGGAGAAGTGGGTGGCCAGTGAGATCACATGTGAAACATATCCCTCCTCCCCACTCCTTATCTCTGGCACCCCGAGAATGGCATCCGTGCCCTCCCTGTGCCCTTCCTATCTTGCCTCTGGGCACTCTATGCCTGCAACCCAGCACGTTGTGCCCTGAAGTCATATCCTCTGGGTTCTTGCCCCTTGCATTCTGGCTCACCCACCCTCTGTGTCTGTGTCTCTCTTGTCCCTCTCTCCATTTCCTTCTTCCCATTCTTCCCTTCCCGCAGCTCCCCTGCCCGCTGCCCCCTCTATGCCCCACCGGAACGCACCTGTGTGTTCTCCTCTGGGCTTGTCTCTGCTGCCAGCCTTCGTCTCTGACCCCTTGAGCTTTATGGTTCTTTTGACCCCGCCCTGGAGGGAGGGACAGGGTGAGGCATGGGCTGACCAAGGAGGAGACCTACAGCTCAGGGGTTCCACGGTGGGCATGGGCAGTGGCATGGGGAAGTGCACGGGGCTCTAGGCTGCTGATGCCTGGGAGGCTTCTGTTACCCCTTCGAGGACCCACGTCTGGAGACTCCCCAGTCCTTCACCGCCTTTAGTGACCAGGATCCACTTCCAGCACACTGTCCTAGGTCTGTTACCCTCTCACTTCTCCTGCCACCATGGCATCTTCCACATGAGTCATGTGTCATCCTCCCTGTCTCGAGCTGTGAAGTGCCATGATCTGTTAAAGGAGTTGGTGAATTTCAGAGGTCAGAGACAAACACAAGGGCAAGTTTACTTGAAAGTTGCCTCACCTGAAACAGATCTATGGGCATAGGCAGGGACTGGCACAGATGGACACCATGATCAATAACAGAGGATCTGACTCATGTGTAGAATAGGGAATCAGAGACCAAATAGCCAGGGAGAGAGAAGCCAATGAGTTAGTCAAAAGGTCTTATCTCTATGGAGAAAGGAGGTTGGAGCTGGCCGGGGAAAAAACCAGTCAGGATGGCTGGGGTTCTGGCCCAGAGAGAGGGGAATGGGAAGGGAACCAAGGAAAGGAGCAGGGTGCAGCATGATGTGGCTCAGAGAGACAGTGAGGTAGATGTGGGCAAAGGAGGAAGCTCCTGGTTAGAGGATAAAGACAGAATCAGGAACAGTGTGAGGCTTGGAAGAAGCTCACCGCCCCATTCCCTTCTCCATCCTCAAGTCTTGATGGCTAATTCTTTTGTTATTATATGACTTCTGTATCTCACATCATTATCTCCCTGCTACTTGCATTGCAAGGCATTTTGGTATTTAGTGGCAGCTAGATGAAGGAAGGAGAAAACAGCTAGTCAACCTACTACTTGTTGGCAGTTCCAGAAAGCCTTTGGTGTGTCCAAGGAAGGGCATTAGCCTGAAATGCTAAAATGATGATTTATATAATGACTTCCCTTACATCCTTTCCTCTTATTGGTCTGGAGGATTGAGACTTGGTTAGTCTCCATTCTGAGCTCACCAACTTCATGCACACATGAGGATGTGGGATCCAAAGAGAGTCATAGGAACAACTGGACATTGAGAATTACGGTCTGTTCTGTTCCACAAAAGACATCATAACCAAAAAAATGGAGTGAGGACAGATCAGGAGAAGGTACTTAGAAAGATTAAAAGAGAAAGGAACCACACATAAAGGAATGAAGTTTGACTCTTAACTCACACCATACACAAAAATTAACTCAAAATAGATCGGAGACCTCAGTGTAACAGCCCAAGCCGTAAAACTCTTAGAGGGAAACAGGAATAAATCTTCTTGGCCTTGGGTTTAAAAAGGATTCTTAGCCACGACTCAAAATCACAAACAACCGAAGAAAAAACAGATAAATTGGACCTCACCAAATTTAAACTTTCGTATTTTTTTTAAACTTTCATATTTCAAACAACACCATCAAGAAAGTGAAGACACCCCACAGAATATGAGAAACTATTTGCAAATCATGTATCTGATAAAGGACTTGTCTGTAGAATATGTAAAGTACTCTCAGAACTCAATAATAAAAAGACAACTCAATGAAAAAATGGGCAAAATATCTGAATATATGTTTCTCCAAAGAAGGTACACAAATGGTCAAAAAGCACTTGAAAAAGATGCTCAACATTATGAGTTACCAAGGAAATGAGAATCAAAATCACAAAGGGATATTGCATCACACCCACCAGGGTGGCTAGAATCAACAAGTCTGATAAGTGTTGGTGAGGCTGTAGAGGAATCAGAAAGCTCAGATGCTGCTAGTGGGAATATAAATGGAATGTTGCAGGATTGCAGGGTTCTTATCTCATGGACTCGAAGAATGAATCTTGCCTACAGGAAAAGGTGAAGTAAAGTGAAAGTTTATGAAGTGAAAGTGAGATCGGAAAGGAAAGAAAAAGCTCTCTAGAGTGAACCGGTCCCAACAGGGTTGCCATTGAGGGTTTATAGGGCTGGTCTTTTATTGAAAACTTGACCAGGAAGCTTGTGGGCTTGAGATTCTTGTGTCATCTTGGTTTGAGCCAGGACTATCGATAATATCCTTAATGACTTAGTTCTTTGAAGTCTGGTCATTTTTCTGTGATTACAGTGTAGCCACCAAAGAAAAATAGTCCCGAACATCTGGGCTGGGTGTTCTGATTTATTCCTTATCTCTTGTTCTCAGGGCTTCTGCTATCAGGGGCAGCCTGTCTCTCCCTGCCTGTACCTTAACCCTTTCCTTACTCAGGAGCAGCTGCTGTGGAAAACAGTCTGGCACTTCCTCCAATGATTCAACACAGAGCTGATCCAGCAACTCTGCTGCTAGGTAAATACCCAAAGAGAAATGAAGACATGCCCCTGCACAGACACTTGGGACAAATGTTCAGAACACACTTACTCCTAGTAGCCAGAAAGTGGAAACAACCCAAAGGTTTATCACCTGATGAATGGATACACAATGGAATGTTATTTGGCAATAAAAAAAACTGAAGTACTGATTTACCCTACAGTGTGGATGCACCCTACAGGGACGCCTGGGTGGCTCAGTTGGTTAAGCATCTGCTTTCAGTTCAGGTCATGATTCAGAGCACTGGGATGGAGCCCCGCATCAGGCTCCCTGCTCAGGGTGGTGTCTGCTTCTCCTTCCACCTCTGCCCCCTCCCCCATCATGTTCGCTCTCAAATAAAAATAAATAAAATTTTTAAAAAATTCTGCCAAATGAAAGAAGTCAGTTAGAAAAAGACTACATATTTTATGATCCTACTTAAATTAAATGTCCAAAATAGGCTAATCTACAGAGGCAGAAAGTAGATTAGTGGTTGCCTAGGGCTGGGGGCCTAGTGGGAATGATAGCTAATGGATATGGAGTTTCTTTTTTTAAGCTTTTATTTTTTATTTGTGTGAGAGAGAACAATTATTATTATTATTCACATACCATACCACAAATAAAAAATAAAATAAATAAATAAAATCTTAAGAAAATTCCACTAAATGAAAGCAGCTGGTTAGAAAAGATTACCTATTATATGTGGCATGTGAATAACTGCAGAGAGCTGTTTTTGTTTTTGTTTTTAGTGAGAGGGACTGTATCTAGAACACACACGGAACTGCTATGCATCAGCCAGAGAGAGGAAGCAATCCCACCGGAAACATGAGCAGAGAATCTCAAGGCCCCTTACAGAAGAGAAAACCAGAAGCTGCTCCTATGTGGTGGCTACTAGAACAATGCAATTATTCAACAAGCTCTCATAACCATTGTTGGCAGAAATGGGAAAGCTGATACCAAGTGTTGGCAGTGATGTGGTGAAGCAGGAAGCATAAGCAAAGCTTGCAGAAAGGTGTGCAGATGATCCAGCTATCTGCAGCGCTGGCCCCACGTGGGTCCTGAGCTCACTGCACACCCCACAGGACTGAGTAATGCTGCTTCTGGCATATATGTCGGAGAGATTCTCACACAGCTGCACCAGGTGGGACACAGACATGCACTGTGGTGAAGATGGGGAGCTGGGGGCCCTCTGGGGGTCTGTCACTGAGACGGTGAGCCAGCAAGAGGTGGTCAGTGTGCACCATGGGGCACTGCACAGCATAGGACCAGATGTCCACAGAGCAAGTCACTTGGGTGGGTCTTAAGATTGTAGGAAGAAACAGGATGAATGATACAGCGCAATACTATTACATAAATCAAAACACCAGCACACAAAGCAATCTGACATGTTTTCAAGAACAGATACCAATAAAAGGATACACACTAATATGTGAGAATTGTTGCCTGGGTAGGGTGGGAGTGGGAACACACATACCCACAAGCACATGCATGCATACACCTACATGCACACATGTACACACATGCTCACGCACCCACGTTTGTACAGACCCATTCGTGTGTCCATCCACGTATGCATACATATGTAAGAGAGACAAGAGGAGCCTTGTATGGGCAGCGATGATGAGGTCCGTGAACCCCCAGGCACATGCTTAATTCTGCAATGGTTGTCTATAAATATATAAATAAAAGAAGGGTCTGCGAGGAAAGGTGAGTGGCTGCAGGTCATCACCCCAGGGTGGAGATGGCTTGGGAGCAGGATCCGCTACAGGTCTCCCACCTGGGAGAGGAAGGGTGGGTGGGGAGGGCAAGGAGTAGTTTTGGACACAGGTAGGGAGGTGGGACACACAAGCACGGATCTCACTTTTTATTTAAAGAAGCACCTAAAATGTACATTGAAAGATAAATAATATTACGAGGTAGCACAGAATAAGTGTGACAAGAGTTGGGCCCAAGGGCAAGTCCTACTGGAGTCTGGAAAGAGATGTCCCTGAGGACAGCAAGCCTCTCCAGGTGTGGGGCCCTGTCTCCTCTGGGCCCTGTCCCCACGGCTGCCATAGCCAAGTACCACGGACTGGGGGGGCTTAAAACAACAGAATCCTTTCTTCTTACAGGTCTGAAGGATGGAAGTCTGAACTCCAGGGGTTGGCAGGACAGGGCTCCCTCTGAAGGCCCCGGGGCGGGCGGGGGGGTTGGTCCTTCCTGGTCTCTTTCAGCTTCTAGTGTTGCCGTCAATCCTGGGCATCTCTTGGGTCCTTGGCTGGTAGACATGTCACCCCGTCCCTGCCTCCACCGTGGTGTGGTGGTCTCTGTGTGTCCATGTCTCCGAGTGTCCCTTCTCTACTAAAGAAAGACACCCATTACCGAATTAAGGGCCTGCCCTACTTCGTCTTAGCTAATTACATCTGCACTGACCGTATTTCCAAATAAGGTCATAGTCTGAAGTTCCAGGAAGGACACGAAATTTGGGGGACATGACGAAATCCAGCGCAGCCTCTTTACATGCCCCACCTTGCAGATGCCGGTCCATGGCAGCTGAGTGAATTCTGAGCCCTGAGCTCAGGGCTGCTGACCTTCGGGCTCATGGA